TATGATAAAAACAGGATATTATTTTAAATCTATGCACAGTTATATTAGTAATCTAAACATAAATGGCAATTCAAAGTAATATTGAATTTGAGCTTTTGTTTACATATTTTTTTTTTTGGCCACAGCTGGCTGTTTTCAGGGCTTATTTTTGTCTTTGCACTCATGAATCACTCCTGAAGGTGCTCCAGGGACCATATGCAGTATCTGGGATCAAACCCGTATGGGCTGCATGCGAGGCAAGCATCTTACTATCCATACTTTCTCCCCTAAAACTATTTGCAGCAATATACAAAGCCCAATTAGGTAATCTTAGGCTCATTGGACCTTCCTGATGACAGGTACCCCTCCTGTTTTGGAGTTCTGTGTTTTCTTGGTCTTTCTTTTGATTTCTCTATTCCAGTTCACGTTACTTTTGGTTTATGATCTCTAAAATATAGACATGATTCTTGTCTATAAAGGACAGTTTTGTTTATAAAAATAAAAGGGATTTAAGGAACTTCAACTAGTCTCTTGGTTTACATTGATTTTATAATTTCAATAAATCTGGAAGGCCAATGTTTATTCATTAGTCAATGAAATGTGCATATAAAATGGCTTCTCTAGAAAGACTGATGAAATTAAACTTGGTCTAATTGAACTTTGAAGTAGATTGTTTACTTGCATTACATCTTTAGCATTACGTCTTCTAATGGGTAAACACAAAAGAAGTCAGGTAGCTCAAAGTTAAGCCAAGAGCAGGATGGTCAAAGTGAACAAAACTTCTTTACTGTCTTTTGTTAAGATTGCTTGTACATAGAATTATTTTGTTGGCGTCCTATTTTTGCTAAGTTATATTTTTAAAATACATGTTTTAACTAAGAAATCACTGTGGACCATGATTCTGTCATGTCCTCCCTCTAGCTCTGCTACATAGACTTAAAACAATGTAAGTACACAAATACACACAAGAGTAAAGCACACAACTGCACCTCAATGTTCAGGAGCTACTTCTCACTCTGCTCCAGAGATTAACAAGGTGCCTGGAGGATCATGCCGGGCCAGAAACTGAACTGAGGTTTGACCACACACAAGGCAACAACAACCACTCTGTCAATTTTCTGCCTCCAAGTCATATTACTAATATGTCATATGACATAGTAATAGTAATATGTCATCTGTGGCATATCATATATCTTAATATGTCATATGACTTATTCGGAATAAGTACTAAGATATTGTTCAAAGATTTTCCCTTAAAATGTTATGTGTTAGTCACCCTCCTCTACAACCTCTTGATAGAACCTTTCAGTTTGGTTGTTAATGCAAGTGTCATTAATACTGTGATTTGGATATTTGATTCAGCCATTTCTTAAAACCACCTTTGTACCTGACTCCACTGTCCTGGTCCCTGTTGTTTCTCATCTATCTCCTCTTCCTTTCCTCCCTCGCTCTTTCCTTCCTTCTTCTCCATATACTCTGGGACCAAGATTGATCAGGGCATCCCTCCTTTAAAACATCGCATTCCCTCATCCAGTTATTCTTAATACCACATATATGTGATATCATCCTGTGTTTATTGTTCTTCTTCAGGCTTACTTTATATAACATGATGTCTTCTGGTTCCATCCATGTTGCTGTGAATTGTATGATTTCATCATTCCTTACAACTGTGTAGCATTGTATCATTTATATATACCACATCTTCATGACCTGATTATCTTTCATTGAACATCTAGGTTGATGCCACTTCTTGCCTTTTATATTAAGTCTCCTATGAATAATGGTGTGAATAAGTTCTTTTGAATGAATGTTTTTTTTTCCTTTGCTGGGGATGGTACCCAAAAGTGGAATTGTTGGATCAGAAAGGAGTGCAATTCTAGGTTTAATGTTTTCCACAGGGATTGAATATGCCAAATACCAGTAACAAAGAAGGGTCTCATTCTCTTAACCCTGGAAGAGCCTTTAATAAGGCACTTTTTTAAAAAAAATCTCAGGGCTAGGACGAAGGAGACGTTACTGGGGCCTGCTCGAGGCAATTGACGAATATACAGGATGGTCGTGATCGTCGTGGTCTTTTTTTGTTATCCAAAATGTTTTATGATATTTTTATATTATTTCAGCAAAATTCAGTTTTACAATGAGATGTTACCAAAATGCTCATCATACAATAAATTAAATAAATATACATATTTATTTATATTTATATATAAATAAATATTCGGATCATCTCTATCTTATAACTGATATTTTGGACTGTCTTCTGTGGTTGGTGTCTTCCTATTATCCTCCACCACATTTTCCCACTTTTGTATTCTTTGTAGCTGTATATTTAAAATTGTTATTTAACCTGCTTCTTTATTAATTTAGACTTCAGGTTGTATAAATCTTTTTTTTTTCTTGCTTTTTGGGTCTCACCCGGCAATGCACAGGGGTTACTTTTTGCTCTGCACTTAGGAATTATTCTTGGCTGCTCAGGGGACCATATGGGATGCTGGGAATTGAACCCGGGTTGGCCGCATGCAGGGCGAACGCCCTACCCACCGTACTATCACTCCAGCCAGCAGGTTGTATAATTCTAAGAATTTCCTTCTCCTTTAGTTTTGGGGCCAACCTAGCTGTTCTCAGTGCTTTTTACTGGGTTTGTGCCCACAGATCAATCCTGGCAGTGCTTGGACGAGTAATAGATGATGCCAGGGATCAACCAAGGTTGGCAGCAGGCAGTGCAAGCACCTTCCCTGATGTACTGTCTTTCCAGTCCAATTGTCCAATTCATTGGCAAATAAATAGTCATGGTATTCTCTTCTGATAGTTTGTATTTCTGTGGTTTCTGAGGGAATTTCTCTTCTTTCATGTACAATATTTTATTGATTTTTTTCTCCTTTTAGAAAGGCTGCTAAAGATTTTTTTGAAATTTTCAAATAATCAGTTGTTTACTTTATTCTTTTGATTTATTTTTATGCTTTCATAAGTTTCTCAAAATTTTATTTTATTTTCTTTTGGTTCATTTACTTATACATTGTAGTTGAAAACTTTGACTTGTTTTACTCTATGATTCTTCTTGTTTCCTATGTTAGACCTGAGTTGCCATAAACATTCCAGTTTAAACTGCTTTTGTTGTATTTCTTAGGTATTGGTGAATCAAACCCTAATTTTCATTCTTATCCATGTATTTTTAAAATTTAATCATTGACTTAATAGTCATTCAAAAACAAGTTGTTTCTTAATAGGTTTTTGTTATTTCCCCACTTCCTTGATTTATTAATTTTATTTGTGCTTTCTGATCTATTTTTTTAAAATTCCTGAAAATGATTTTAGCTTTATATTTAAAATAGTTTAATGTAATTTTATTGGGATTTGTTATGTTCCCAAATTATGATCTATACTTGAGATTTTTTTTTATGAGCAGTTAAAAATTATGTGTACTCTATTTTATGTGGGATCTTCCATAAATACAGTTGAAGTCCATTTTCTGTCTCAGGGATCTATCATTGTTTTATTGTGTTTAAATCTATTTCTATTGTATATAGCTGTCAGTTAGCTTCTATTAGGTATTTTAATATTCACTTTATATATTTGATTTTGCTGTAGAAGGGGCAAGCATAATAGTAATTGTAATATCATCTTTTCGTATCATTTCCTTTATATTATATAAAGCTTATCTTGGAACATTTCAACTTGAGTTTTTTTTTAATGATAAAATATAAACTGTAGCAGTCCCTCTTTTTGTAAAAGTTTTTTTCACATTTATTTGAATATTCTCTTGGCATGTAGAGCCTTCTATCCTTTTCTTTGAAGTCGGTATGCCTTTACAATTTAATTTAGTTTCTTATAATCAGCATATATCTAGGATTTGTTTTTTTTCCATTGTTATCCCAATCCTTTTGATTTGTTTTTTGTTCTTTTCAGTTTTACTTTCTGGGTCACAACCATGAGCTGCTCCCAGGCCTATGCTCACATGGTATTCCTTGAAGGGAGGGTCATATGGTATCAGGGATAGAACCCAGGCTTCGTCAATTGAAATAAGTGCTCAGGCTAAGCATTACCACTCTGCCTCTTCCTTTTAGATTACTGAGTTTGATCCATTTACAGGTAGGAAGATTGCTAATATATGAGAACTTCTTGCTGCCATTTTTCTATTTGTTATTTTGGTTCTGTTTGTTGAGCTGGAGCTATAGCACAATGGTAGGGTGTTTGCCTTGCATGTGGCAGGCCCGCCAACCCAAGTTTAATTCTTCCGCCCCTCCTGGAGATTCCGGCAAGCTACCAAGAGTATCTCGCTGTCACTGCAAAGCCTGGCAAGCTACCCATGACATATTCAATAAGCCAAACACAGTAACAAGTCTCAGAATGGAGATGTTACTGGGCCTGCTCTAACAAATCCATGAACAACTGGAGGACAGTGCTACAGACAGTGGTTCTGTTTGTTACTTTGTTGAATATCTGTAGTCATTGTTCTAGAGAGGTCAGTTCCTTTCAGTATTTATTTATTTGTGTATATATTCTTTTGATAATGAGGTTTAGTATTGACAAACCCTTTTGCATTTTTTGAACTCTTTTTTTTTCCTCTCATGTAGCACTGTAGCACTGTCCTCCCGTTGTTCATCAATTTTCTCAAGTGGGCACCAGTAACTTCTCCATTGTGAGACTTGTTGTTACTATTTTTGGCATATCACGGGGAGCTTGCCAGGCTTTGCCAAGCAGGCAAGATACTCTCAGTAGCTTCCTGGGCTCTCTGAGAGGGGAGGAGTATGAAAGAAAATCTCATGTATGAGAGAGAATCTTGCAGGATATAATTAATGTATTGACTGACATTTTTGTCTTTGAGTATTTTGAAAATGTCATTTCATTATTTTTGTCTGGAAGGCTTTCTGCTGAGAAGTCTGATGGAAGCTTGATGAGAGCGCTTTTATGTTACTATTTTCTTGTACTATAACCCTTCGAAACAATCATTTTTTGGTCTTGAATTCTTAATAGTATCATGTCTCATGTTTCAGTGTGGCTTACTTCTGCCCCACCCTCTTCTTTAGAGAGATAATACACCAACGTTATAACAAGACTGAAGGGAGGAACACGTCACACAGATATATGAACACACTACCATCATGCTTGTAAACTGGAAAAAGATCTAGTTTAGGATCCTATATGTTTAGAAATTCTGTTTTCTTCTCAGACTTGCACATTTAGTTCCGTCCTCACATTTGAGATATTTTCAGCTTTTGTTCCATTTAATAAACCATCTGTTTCTTTTTCTCTCTTTGTCCCTTCAGGGATACCAATTGACCTAATATTCTTTTTACTAATGTCATTGATGAGTTTTCATAGTTTTTCATTAATAATTTTAGCATTTCATTTCTCTTTATTCTTCCAACTGAGTCATTGGTATATTAATTTCTTTAACAATACCAATTTTCTTCTGTATTTTATTTAGTAAGCATAGCTTTCTTGAGTGCTTTTGACTTGTTTATTTTGTTCTTCAAATTATGAATCTGCCATTTCTATAATGCTTTCATTTCTAACTTTTGCTTCTTTCTTTTCTATCTGATCTCATTATTTTGGTTCTCTGAGTCTTTTTGGTCTTTCTTTGATTGCCATTTCAGTTTTCCCTTGTTGGCTTTCGTTTTCCACTGCCTTTTTAAGTGTCTTTTTTCATGTTTCAGGACACACTCACCCATGTCTTCAAGACTATTATGGAAATTTGTTCTCTACATGTTATATTATATTGTCTTGTAGTCTTAAACTGTCTTTGGGTATGTGTGTGTGTCTTTGTGTCTGTGTGTGTGTTTGTGTGCACGAGCCCACATGTGTTTTTAATTTTGTTTTGGGGCTCATCCAGTGGTACTCAAGGCTTGCTCCTGGCTCTGCATTCAGTAATTACTCTAGAAGGTGCTCTTGGGACCACATAGGGTACTGCAGATCAAATCCAGTTAAGCCACATGCAAAACAAGTTTTCGTTTTTCTGCTTTTAATGTGTATGATTTTGTTGTGACTGTTTTGTTCTATTAACACTAACAAATAATGTTAAGCCTCTTATCTTGTACCATTGCAGCAAGTGGCACTATGACTGTCTTTGAGTTAATTTGGCTTGATAATTTTGGATTCTATTGGGTTTGTATAGGTACTGAATTCCATGCTATATGCAGGAGGGAAAAGGAGAGGGCCAGAGATTGTTGCAAACATTCCTGAAGGGGTGTGCTCTGTGTTAACTGATAGCCCTCTTCTAGAGCCCTGGACTGAGAATTAATCTGCACAGATATGTTAATGAATTTTATTAATTAAGAGAAGTAGAAGAAATAAGGGATAGTAAGGGGTATTCTAGATTGTTTTCTCCTTTGTCCTTACTGGAGTCCTAGATTATGTGGTGTTCCCCAGAATCTCGCTATGGGCTTCATTTCAGTCAAGGGTTTGTGACACCTTTTGTGTCACTAATTTGTGTCACTATTTTTGATTTCCCCAGTTCTCTGGTTAAGTTGGGCTAGCACGATAGCACAGTTGGTAGGGGATTTGCCTTGCACACAGCCGATTCGGGTTCAATTCCCCCCCCCCCTCTCGGAGAGCCTGGCAAGCTACCGAGATTATCTCGCCTGCACATCAAAGCCTGGGAAGCTACCCATGAGGTATTCGATATACCAAAAACAGTAACAACAAATCTCACAATTTGTTGAGACGTTATTGGTACCCACTCGAGCAAATTGATGAACAATAGGAGGACAGTGCTACAGTGCTAGTTAAGTCAGCAGAACTGAAATTTCTACCCTCCATACAGACTACCAAGTCCACCTTTTGACTAATATAGTTTGTGAATGTACTTACCATCTCCTTTAGCGGAGTTTGCATCAGTTCTGAGCTGCAGAAAGTTCTTTAGTTTCATCCCAGCCTATTGGACTCTGATTCATGTTTCCTTTTGGTAACTTACTAATTGTTTTGTCTTGGAATGAAACAAAAAGCTTCCTCTATTTCCATATTTATGATGTCAATCTTTCCAACTTCATTAAAACTTAATGGGACTCCATTGTAAAACTATTATAAATGAAGTATACAATATATAGTGCATCACATAATATACGAGATATATGTAAACCATACCATATATGTACCATGTGATATACTTGCTTTATATATGCTATATATTTTATATTTCTATCAATTTATTGTTTATGGTCATTTACCTTCTTTCCATTCCATGACTGTTATGTACATGGGAATGAAATATGTTTTAATGATTTTGTTTCCTTTCCATAATAAAAGAATAATATTTGTTTTATAATAAAAGAATAGACTTTGACCCATCGGAGATAATAATAATTTTTCACTCATAGGAAATCTTGACCAATAAAATTTATGTCATACTTACTATTAATATTTATCATATTTTTGTATAAAATCAGTACTATAAGAGACCAAGATTATCCAGAATAATTAGGATTATATCATAGACTAAAATGACAATTTGTTCAATAAAATCCCCTGGATTTTTGTCTCTTTCCTGAATTAAAACAAACTGTGTGGCTGGAGAAAACATAAGTGTTGCTGATTCTTTAAAGCAACATTTTTATTATATCATCAACATATGTTTCCATAGTTGTCAAACAAAATTCCATTCAAAAGCATTCTGTACTTTTAAAATATGTTTTTCTTATTAAGAATTCATTTAGTGCAATAATAATACAGTCTTTTATGTAAAAAAAGAAAGAAAAATATGTTTCTAACATTCCTTGAGGTCTTCCTTAGTTTCTGAAACGAAGACCTGAGGTTCCAGTAGGCTTTCACTTGCATAGTTTCAGAATTTTCTTTATCCAAGAAAATAATGCTACATTTTAGTGAATAAAGATTTTTCAAAACTAAGAACTATACAAAATAGAAAATATTTTCTTATGTTGCCGATTTTGTTTTGAAATGCGAATCGTGAATATAAATTGCTAACTTGTTTTATTTTCTTTTACTCCTTTTTAGTCCCTCCAGTAATACGAGTGTATCCTGAGAGTCAGGCCAGAGAGCCTGGGGTAACTGCCAGCCTTAGATGCCATGCAGAAGGCATACCAAACCCTCAACTAGGATGGCTGAAGAACGGAATTGACATTACACCAAAGCTGTCCAAACAACTCACACTTCAAGGTGCTTTTTAACTTGCAGTATTTTTTCCTAAAAGAACGCAATGATTTTATGCTGAAATTTGAAACAGACATCATTCTGGGGGAAAAAGTCTTTAGAAATGGAACACAATAAATATGAAAAATATATGGTTGTACCTAAGGCATCATATTTGAAAGTAATTTTATATTTCAATAATTTTAATAATAGCCTTACAATGATTAATTGTGTCATTATTTTGATGACATGTAAAATACTAAATTATATGTGTTTAACTGTGTGCCCTTCTGAATATCACAAATGTACTAAGCAGAATAATTGGATTTCTCTACAGTAACCATCTAAATGTTTAAGTCATTTAACATGTACTATAGAGAATTTTAATAGCAGAGATATTAGTGGATGTTTCACAGAACATGGTTTAAGAGAATATTTTTAAAAGTCACTAAATGTGCTATATATTCACATTGATTTAAATGTACAAGACTATAGCAACCTAAATATAAAATATTTTGCTTTCTTAATATTCTAATATTTGAGTATATTATTCCACTATGATTACAGATATATAGCAACTAAAAACCGAAAGACAATATTAATGTCAAGAAACCTAAATAATGCAAAAGTGAAAGTGATTGTATATATGCTGATTATGCTTGTGAGTAAAATATGAACAAGATATATTCCCATTGTTATGAACACACATGACAAGTAATTTTGCTGCATTATCTATTTTAAAGCATGCATTTCTATTTGGAGCTTTCAAAATCTTTAATATATAACACTATAATAGAATATTTTTATGATTTCTGTAAACAAGTTTCTCTCATCATTTCACTTTAATAGTGAATACATTTTATCAGTGTACATTTTTAAATACATCTTTTTGTTGAAGACTGAATTATTTTTCAAGGTAAAATAACCAAAGTATTTTAAAGCTTTAAGTATGAATTTTCAGGTTGCAGAGAAAGTACGTGCCTTGCAGTTGACAAGTTCAATCTCTGGAATCGCATATGATCTTCATTAGGACCACCAAGAGACCCCAAAATCCCCCCAAATAAAAAAATGAATAAAATATGAAGCCTATAAAACTTCATAACTAAATATCTTGGCAAAATTTTTTATTTCAACTTAACCATTTATTTTTATCATCTAAAATAATCAACTTAGCCATTTTGGTATAATCTAAAATAATATTTGATTAACACAATTTAAAGATTTGCATAATTAATTAACCTCTGCATTTGTAATCTCATCCATTTAATAGCAAGTCATATTGTTTGGGCATATTATATATTTGCTCCCTGTCTATATACAGAAAGATGAATTTTAAGAATCAGTTGTTGCAGAATTTTAACTGGAGAAAGTAGGTTATTTTGATGATAATATACAAATAATATAAGAGCTGCCAAAGTAAGTATAATAGTATGTTATTCAAATAATAAAAAGAGAGTAAGAGGACCCATATAGACAATGTATAAAGAAAGTGAAATTCTGTGAAGTTTACATGTGAATATATATTACTAAGTTACAATAAAAATGTTTTTTTTTCACAACATGCTTAGTTAGTTCTTTTATGAGAAGTTCAACTATTGGCACTAACTGAATAAACTTGACACCAGTTGGGAAAACCTATTAGTAAAAATCTGGAATTTTAATATTTGATTGAAAATCAATCAAGATATTACAAGGTGGCTGAATGCAATTAGGAAAACAAGTTAATATTCAAAAAAAAGGTAAAATGGGAAAGATCAACAATATCTGATGCATTTGAAAAGCCCAGAAAGATCATTAATATATGTCAAGGGTTAGATGCTATTTTTGTCATCGTGACATTTAGATAAAAAATATTAGAGGGCCTGGAGAGATAGCATAATGGGTAAGGAGCTTGCTTTGCAAGCAAACTGTCAAGCCACACTCAATCCCGGGCACCCCACATAGTCCCCCGATCCCTACTAGGTGTGATCCATGAGCACAGTGCCAGAAATAAACCTTGAGAACATCCTATTCTGGCCCCAAAACAAAAATGGAAAACAATATGAGAAAAACTGGAATGAAGGACAAAGATAGTTGAAGAAGGCTGCCCTGTGAACTGCAGCAGGTGCAAAATGCAAGCAAACCCAGGGAATTCTTTGAGTGTTTCCAAAGAAGAAATGTGCTCAGTGGTAACAGCCAGAGAGCTCCCCAAGAAGAAGGAGCTTGGGTAGCATTGCTCAGGGCTCAAGGGGCTAAAGAGAAAAGACAGAGCCCAGGAGCGGATGGCACAGTTTCTAAATTTACCCACAGCCTTTAGTCTGAGTGGGACGCTACTCCAGAGTCTGGCAAGACCCAAGACTGGCAGTATCAGTGGCACACACACTTGCAGCCCAGGCAAACATGGGACCTTCCAGCATCCCAGGTGAGGTGGCAGGCAAAAAGCACAAGATTGCCAAGTGAAGAGGAAGAGGGTGCCCTCTCCCAGAGCACTGAGTTCAGGTATATTTCCTTGTCTTAGAGTGAGTGTGAGCTAGAAATACTGAGAGCTGTTTTCCTGGGCCAGCTGCCCTGAATCAGTCCTGAAGCCATGGAGCCAGGGTAAGTCACAGAGAACTGTGAGTGCAGGGAGACAGTAGATTTGCACAGCAATAGCTCATCAGCAACTGAAAACAGCATAAATGCCACAGACTAGGCTCTGGATAGATGTGGGGATTGTACATATTCAATTGCTATTCATGCCTACACAAAATCAGACCCTGATTGATAACTCTCCCTCACAGTAGACACAGAGAAGTAGTAAAGAAGTGCCCCAAATTATGCGGTGAGGACCATAGTCTGAAAGGGTCCCCAACTACCCACCCATCATCTCTTAGACGATGATTTCTAAGTTATCGGGATAAGGCTGTTTAACAAATGGAAAGAAATGGTAGAATAGATCTTCAACAACGAAAGAGAAAGTATGACTGCAGTCTGAAAAATTGGTGATCAGAGCTCACTGACCTGATGAGTGTGGTAGGTGAACTGGAAAACTCATTGGAAGGTCTCAGCAGTAGTGACAGGAACTGGGAAATGCATCAGTATGCTGAAGGATAGCATGCGGGGAATCACCAATAACAAACAGATATAGGAAGCAAAGTGAAAAGAAATAAAGGCAAAGCCAATGAGATTATTTTAAGAGAAACAATATCTGGGTTACAGAAATCCCCAAGGAAGAGGAAGGAGAGAACAAAGAACTGCTGGTTGAAGAAATTACAGCTAAATACATCACTAGTCTGAGGACTGAGTCATAAGTCTAAGTACAAGAAACTCAAGAGTTCAAACAAAATAACCCCAAACAAAACTCCAAGACATTTTAATTAAAATTGCAAACTCTAAAGATGGGGTTGGAATTTTGTGAATGACATCAGGACTAAGATTAGACTCCCCATTGTTTAGGAGAAAATATTCACTGGCCACATGTCTGATAAAGGGCTAACATCCAATATTTATGAAGCACTTGTAGTACTTAGGAAAATCAAGCAAACAACCTCTACAAAAAATGAGGAAAGAAAGGCAAGAGAGATACTACAGCTGGTAAGGCATATGCCTTGCAACCAGCTGACTTGGGTTTAATTCTTGACGCCTCATGTGATCCACTGAACATGCAAAGAGAGTGATTCATGAGCACAGAGCCAGAAGTAAGCACTGAGTACAGCCAGTGTGACTTCTTCCAAAAATGAGTGAAGAAGGTAAAGACACTTCCTTAAAGAAGACTTATAGAAGTCCAAAAGGCACTTGGAAAGACATATGCCCACCTAGGATCAGGAAAACCAAACCCAAGTCACCTGACACCAGTGTACTTAAAAGGATGTAGAAGCAGTAGTGCTAGTAGGGGTATGGGAAAAAAAATACCCTCATATACTTGGTTAAAATCATGTCTGGTTCAGCCATTATGGAAAATAATAGAGAGACTTCTCCACAAATTAAGAATTGAGCTTAATTTGATTGATGATTCATTGTTAAAAATATATATGTATATGGATATATATATGTTATTTACCCTGTAATCCCAGTAACTTTAATTTAAAAAAAAAGTATTTGTACTTATATGTACATCGTAGCACAATTCATAATAACCAAGATCTGGAATTAATCCCAAATTGCTACCCCTACTTGTGTGTTCAAGAATAGATGTCTGGATAAAAAAATTAGGGTAGATAAATGTTTTATAGAATATCCCCACCCAGCACTGTTTTTTCCTACTCCTTTTAAAATATGTCATTGTCACTAGTGTAAGGTGATTTTGATTTTTTAATTATTAATATGTATTTACTTATTTATTTATTTATTGTTTTTTTGGGTCACACCCAGCAATGCACAGGAATTGCTCCTGGTTCTGCACTCAGAAATTAATCCTGGCGGTGCTTGGGAGACCATATGGCAGGCTGGGAATCGAACTCAGGTCAGCCGTGTGCAAGGAAAATGCCCTACACACTGTGCTATCGCTCCAGTCCCCGGATTTTGATTTCTTGATGATAGATGGAATGTATACCTGTTGGCATTTTTATAATTCTGTATTGGGCCTTTTATATGCTTCAGCAAGGAAAATAAATGTTTGGGATTTACTTTCCTTTTTCATAACTTCTGCTGAAACATTAATGACATATTACATTATATATGTTTAAGGTAGAGAGCTGGAGCAATAGCACAGTGGTAGGGCGTTTGCCTTGCACGCAGCCAACATGGCCGACCCGAGTTCAATTCCTCTGCCCCTCTCGGAGAGCCTGGCAAGCTACCGAAAGTATTTCGCCCGCACGGCAGAGCCTGGCAAGCTACCTGTGATGTATTCTATATGTATTCGATAAACACAGTAACAACAAAGTCTCCAATGGAGACATTACTGGGCCCTCTCGAGCAAATCGATGAACAATGGGAGGACCGTGACCGTGATGTTTAAGGTATTGTATAGGAAGATACACGCATATGCATATATATATATTTATCCATCTCTCTATATATACAAATTATTTATGTTTAATTTATAATCACTTCTGTGTACTGCATGATTTAAAGAGCAAGGTAACCTGTTCATAATGAGAAGTTTGTATCACCATAAGAACATATAAAATGCTATGTTTGAAATACAGGCATGAGAAAAACATCTAATTATTAAGGGCAAGTGAAACAGGTATCAACTATCTTGAATATCCTTCAATTTGAAAACTTAATATGAGAATTTATAAATGTGCTTATGCAGTAATCTCATGATCTAAAAATAATTGTGCAAAGAACATAAGGTGAAGAGATTTTTCAGCTTGGTCTAATTCTGAAGATTAGTGAGATAGGTACATCGGTAATGATTAATGTATAAGGAAATTGGTAGTTCCGGTAATAAATTAGGAAACATGTAGAAATGCAAAATTATGTAAGGAAAAATCATAATATAGTGATAGACAAATTCGGAGAAAACATAATAATATAGGGGAGAAAATTAGAAGAGGCAATTTAATGTGATATTTTAAAAATCTAGAAAATTTGGACCGGAGAGATAGTGCAGCTTTTGCCTTGCTCATAACTAAGCTGGGTTTGATCCTTGTTATCCCATGAAGTCCCCTCAACATCCCCAGGAGTGATTCTTGAGTGTAAAGCAAATAGTAACCTCTGAGAATAGCTAGGTATGCCCAAACAAACAAGCAGAAAAACATCTAGAAAATTTGGTGTTAAGTGTCTGGGTCTTTTAAGTAAATTATGCTTTTAAAAGAGGACTATGTTTCACATAAACAATAAAAGCTAATGCACACTAAAATACACTATTTCTAAACTTTTAAAGAAGGCATTAGAAAAAGAAGACTATGAACAAAATCTGAAAACTGTCTATTTGGGTTTGCTTTTTTTTTTCCCCTGCCTGTTTATTTTGGGGCTGATCCTATCTCAGCTCAGGATTTAGCCTGGCTCTGTGCTCAGGGATCACTCCTGATGGTTCTCATAGGATCATATGGCACACTGAGGTTTATAACGAAAGTTGGTCACAAGCAAGGCAAGTGCCTTAACCTTTGCGAGTGGTCCCCAACCTGAAACTGCTTTAATAAATAAATTTTTTTCTTCTTTATTTTGCTTTTGTTTGTAAAACATGGGGACACATTAAAAATGTTGCATCTGTCTGTTTTCCTACTTTTGTTACATAGAATAGCTACAAGAAAGCTTAATGTTTCACAAAGCCTAAGGTATTTACTCTCTGGCCTTTTGCATAGAAAAAAAATGATGCACCTTTGTTTGAGAGTAGTGGATGTCAATAGTGGATTAGGAGAAGAGAGCTGCACAGTATTTGTAAATCGGTGAAGAGATTCAGTGCTTTGAATGATTATGCCTCCCTACATAATCACAATCTCTCCATAACACTTAGATCCTTTAAGTCACTGGCTTGTAGGGAAAACATTCAAGCTCTTTTTCTCACTGATCTTCTGCCTTTCCCCAATATTTAAAAGTCATGTTTCTTTCTGATGTATATAATACATGATATTCTTGTGATTAGATGGTGTAGAATAGACACCAACAGAAACCAATCCTGTTCAATTGAGCACAACAAATACAGCACTAGAGTGTGTAGAACTGAAGTCCAGTTTTTCTTTTCCCATTTGTTTTTCCTGGGCGTTCACCTTACAAGCGGCCAACATGGCCGACCCAAATTCGATTCCTCCGCCCCTCTCGGAGAGCCCGGCAAGCTACCGAGAGTATTCAATATGCCAGACACAGTAACAACAAAGTCTCCAATGGAGACGTTACTGGGCCCGCTCCAGCAAATCGACCATCAATGGGAGGGCCTTTACCTTTACCTTTTCGATCAAACCTGAGCAGGGCTCAGGGCAAACTCCTGACTTTGTGCTCAGGGATCATTCCTGGTTGTTCTCAAGGCACTATATATATTTCCGAGGATTTAAACCAAGTTTAGCTGCATGTGAAACAAGAACCTTAACCTCTATACTATCTTTCTAATTCTTCAGCAATTTTGAGTTGAAAGGTTTTCACAAGATCGTGTTAGAAATAATTGTTCCTTATTAACTATTAAGGTATTAATTGGGATAATCAATGGGAAATATGTGAAAGTGCTTTTAGATAACCAACATGTAATAAATACTTAATTCATTGTCTTACACATTGTCAAATAAGTTTAGAGTTAATTAAAATACTATTTTACCAAGACGTGAAAATTGAATTAACTATACTATAATTATTTGATTATACATTGATGGTCAATTTTCTTGTTATATTATTTTTTATTTAGATGTTCTTCTGGAATAATAATGAATGTTTTTTATATTAAAAAAATACTGTTTTGTTTCCTGGTAGACAGACCATGTTATGGAATTCCTCTGTTTCCTTTACCTAATTATTCTAGGTGTATTAAATGGACTAAATACTATATTTGAGGAATTTCAATCATGTTATACTGAACAGTGCAGCTCACTTGTTTTGTTTCTAAAATGCGTTTTTATCTGCATCATTATTTAATGAACCCACATGTATTTTATTTAAAACCATTGCAAAAGTTTGAGACAGAAAAGGCCCCGAATGTTAAAAACAAATATATAAATAAAATTATACTGATCAATATAAATGCTTATGATATGATGTAGAAAATAGAAACTGAATATAAAATGAAATATGTGAATTTAATAAAGTATTGGACTCTATAATAGAATGACAGCACACAAGTTATGAAACACTTGAATGCTTTTGGAATAATTGGAGTGTCTCCAGAGCATGCAAGTAGGAAGGGAAAAAGTTTAATTAGGACAAGCTAAGAGAACTGTTTCACTGTGTAATCGGAAATCACTGTACCAAAACTGAAATTGTGGCTTACAAGTTACATTTGCCTTCTGTTTTCAGCAAATGGCAGTGAGGTTCATATAAGCAATGTGCGCTACGAAGATACCGGAGCGTACACATGTATTGCAAAGAATGAAGCAGGAGTGGATGAAGACATCTCCTCTCTTTTTGTGGAAGATTCTGCTAGAAAGACATGTATGTATCGAATGTATATTTACTTACACATTGAACTCACACATAAACCACACTTGATTTTTTATTTTTTGAAAAAACAAAGGCACCTAAATATTGTAAAAGGAGCAATGAAATCTAAGCAGTCGTTGTATTTGAAATAAAATCAATCATAAAATTAGGTTCATGTGTAAAATCTATGAAGTTCTTCCCCTTGCCGCCTGTCTTCGGAGGGCCCAGGGCCGCTCCCCCAGCCAGGGCAGCCGGGGCCATGGGACAGACAGAAGGAGAAACAAGGGCCAAGATAATTGATTGATCAGATGCTGTTTGTTCCATTCTCCCCATGCCCCTGCCCAGTCTCTCTGAGCCTCCCATTCTAGTCTCACTGCCCCTCATTCCCGTTTCCTCCCGTCTCTCCGCTCATCTCTCCAAGCTCCATCTTGCAGTCTAGGCTCTCTTTCTCCACGTGTCTGCTCCTGTATTCTTCTTCTACATCCTTCTCCCTCTGTCCCCCTTGCTAGTCTCTGGTCACTCCATCTTGCTGCCCTGTTTTACTCTTTCAAGCTCTCCTGTCTTTCCAACTCCCTAGCCCTCTTGGCTGACACTGCACCCAATCCAGTAGCCAAATCAACATAAAAAAGCCCTGCCTGACATCCCACCAGGTTCAAAGGAAACACCACCTAGGAGATATGCCAAAGCCCTCCCTGACTGCCCAAGAGCAAAATACCTCTTAAGGTGTTTTTCTCATTTCCTCAGTCAATAACTCTATCAATATCTTAATATTAATTATTTTTGTATGGACATGGTAAGAGATACACTGAAGCTTGTAGGGCAGCTCTCCTGGGAACATCTTGCCACATACTCAGACTACAGCACTCAGGCCAGATTAATCATTCCTAACCCTAGCAAGGTACGAATCTAGTTATTACTTTTTGGATCATGACAGCATTTGTCCATGACCAAGCTCTTAACTTATAGTTAAGCATTATGGCACTTTGGCCAGGCCCATCTCTATGCCATTGTAGCACATAGCTTACCGCTTGCCATGGTTCCATCCAGTCCCTTCAGGACCCTGCTTTTGGGAGGCCTAGGAAGTAAGGGCAGCTGAGGCTTAGGTGAGAGAACAGATGTCCAGGAAGAAAATATCACTGAGAGTCAATTAACTCTCACATTACAAAAGCTTAGTATTTACTGTCTTCTTATGTCTATACAAAAAGGACATTGCTCTGAATAAACTATGCAAAGGACTTAGGGAGAAGAGAAAAACAGTATTTACAAGTCAACAGAGCACAAAGAAAGAAGTTACAAATAAACACAAAGGAATGGAAACACTGTGATGGGAGCATCCCAATAAACCTAAACTACCTGAGACTATGCAGGAAGGACCAATCAATGTTATCCTACAGGTTTAGGAATTGCAAGTGAGTTGTAGAAGATTTCACACAACATGTGATTTTATTTTTTGTAAAATCTTGTGCATTAAAGGCTTTTACATTAAAAAAATTAACTGTAGTTCATATTAAAAGATTATCCCATTTAATTTGCAAAAATTTTAATTCCTTGTGAAGTCCCACTCCCACACAATTTGATTAATTCACAGTACCAAGGGCTGGAGTGATAACACAGGGGTAGGGCGTTTGCTTTGTGCACAGCCAGCCCAGCCAAGCCGGGTTCAATTCCTCTGCCCCTCTCGGAGAGCCCGGCAAGCTACCGAGAGCATCTCACCCGCACAGCAAAGCCTGGCAAGCTCCCCGTGACATATTCAATGTTCCAAACACAGTAACAACAAGTCTCAAAATGGAGACGTTACTGGGCCTGCTCGAGAAATCGATGAACAACGGGAGGACAGTGACAGTGATTGTGACACAGTACCAAAATAGTCAATTAACATCCCATAGGTTTAATAGATTGATATGTGTGTAAATTGCATTGTACACCATTGCTATGTGCTCCACTTTGCTGTGGCATATTGCGTTCACCATGTGATATTACTTCCGTGGCACTTTATTACCTTGATAAAATCAATTCTGATGATATTTTGAAGAACAAGATTAAAGAAAATGTATTTTTCTTTAAAAAAAATGGTCGACATGGTAAAAAGCTGTAATAACGGGAACATGCCCAGGATGGATGCAGATGTAGATGAAGATGTTCAAGGTGAATATATGCTTATAGACAAATTGCTTGGAATTCAGCAGATGGTAATAGTATTTATCAGTTTATTTCTATGTCAAATGCAAGTATTTTCCTCTAGTACAAAACTCTCCAAATGATTTTGGGGGTGTGTTAAGATGCGTTTAAAATGACTATTTTACTGCTTGGTCTGATTTATTATAATTATTTATGCTTTTCGTTACGAATTTTTTAGGAGATTCTACAATTTTGAAGGTCTTCTTATTGGTTCATTCATTTCTCTAAACTTATTTTTTGGAACAAAGTTAAAGGATTCTCCCTAGGAATTTGATCTATCCTAAATCCATGATTTTGTATATATATAAATCATCCAGTACGTAGGTGTTACATCCACCAACTACCCCCAGCGCTGTGTAATGCCATCAATGGCCAAGACCCAGAGACAATAAAACCCAGCTCCCAGACATCTTATTATCTAATTCTTACTCTAGAGAACCTGGCAGGCTACCGAGAGTATCCTGACCACATGGCAGGGTCTGGCAAAATCCCCATGGTGTATTCAGTATGCCAAAAACCTTTAACAATGATGGGTCTCATTCTCTTGACCCTGAAAGAGCCTTGAATGTGGTACTTTCTAAAATCTCAGGGCTAGGACGAAGGAGACATTACTGGTGCCTGCTCGAAGAAATCGATGAACAGTGACAGTGATACAGTGATATAAAGAAATATATATAAACATATATATTTATATATATATCATATGAGTGGATCAGAAAGGCAAGTCTTAATTGCCAGTATCTCACTATATTTTATGCTAAGATAATAACTTTTACAAGTTATTATTAAAATATTAAAAAAGGCCCTTAAAAAAAAAAAAAAGGCCCTCCCGTTGATCGTCGATTTGCTCGAGCTGGCCCAGTAACGTCTCCATTGGAGACTTTGTTGTTACTGTGTCTGGCATATCGAATACTCTCGGTAGCTTGCCGGGCTTCTCCAAGAGGGGCGGAGGAATTGAACTCGGGTCAGCCATGTTGGCTGCTTGTAAGGTGAACGCCCTACCGCTGTGCTATTGCTCCAGCCCAAATATTATTATTATAATATTTATTAAATATCATATAATATTATTAATTATTATTATTAATTATTATAATTAATATTATTAATCATTAATTATTACTATTATTAATTATTAATATTATTAATATTTTAATGATGTTATTAAAATATTATTAATATATAAATAGATATATAGTTTTGTTTATATAGAGTGCATCATTTTATCTTTGCTATACTGATGTACTTCTTCAAAATAGAAATTTACAATTCACTTTCTGTTAAAATATTTTTTATATGGCTGAAATAATAAAACTCTTCAGTTTGTCCATGGTGATGCCATTTTTAAAACACTGTCATCTAAGCAGTATATTTTTAATTTTGATCATTTATAATTTTTGTACTTCCATTATTAAAGTATTAAAGGAATCCTTATATAATAATTAAATTTTGAGGAAAATTTTTGGAGAACAGGTAAATGCAATTCTATTCACATATAGTAACAAAATGCATTTATTTAATAATTAACACTTTAAAATCATGTTATCATATTTAACTTGTAGCTTAAAAAACATGTATTCATGGAGGTGGAGTGATAGCGCAGTGGGTAGGGTGTTTGCCTTGCATGCAGCCAACCTGGGTTCGATTCCCAGCATCCCTTATGGTCCCCTGAACACTGCCAGGAGTAATTCCTTAGTGCAAAGCCAAGAATAACCCCTGAGCATCGCCAGTTAGACCCAAAAAGAAAAATAAAATGTATTCATAAAGTCCTGGAGTATTTTCTCAGCATGGGTTTGATCCCTGTCATCATTAGTTACCCTGAGCACTAGAGGAGCACCAGACCCCCAAATCAAACAGAAACCACCACTGCCAACAACAAAAACAGACAATGAGACCAAAATGTAGACATCATACAAAATGTAAGATAAAATAATAAAATTTAAACAATTTTAATTATGCTATTACTATCAAAGGTAAGTTATTTTATGATATAGAATTTAAGGTATTACTACATTTGTTTATATGAAATTTTCAGGGTTGCAAAAACAATACAAGATCCAACATTGTCCCAGTCTTTCTTGCTCCCCAGCATCTATACATTTGGACTCCTGGGATCATATTTATTTTAATCGGATCATAGAGATTGTTTCCTTTAGAGACTGGCTAATCCTTTTATTTGTGTCTTTTTTGTTCCGCATATGAATAAGATCACTCAGTGTTTGTCTTTTTATCTCTGACTTACTTTACTTGGTGTGATTTTCTCCACTCCTATCCAAGTTAAGGCAAATGATATTCCCTTCAATACAATTACAAAATTTAAAGAGTACTTTTGTTCTTAAGTTAGAATATCAAATAAAAGTACTACTTAAATATTTAAATTGCCTAACATTAATATGGATAAAAATTAACATATACAATTCTATAATTAATTAGATAATTAAAATTATAAAATAATATCTACCCTCTTATTAACATCCTAACTGCATGAAATCATAATAGATTTTGTTTTTAATCACACAAGGATTTTAGATTATCATTTGGGTGGGAGGGCAGTTTGGGCACAACTGGAAGTGCTCAGGGCTCACTCTTGCAGAGTTTGGGGAACCACGTATGTTACTGAGGGCTGAATCAGGTGCAAGATGAATGTCTACCTCTCTTTACTATCTCCCCAGATGGTCAACAATGAATGCATGTTCCTTATTCACCACATCCCCAGCTACTCTGATTCCTTCCAATCTTGTTCATGTATTCTATTCTTACTGGTATGAAATAATATTTCATTCAAACATTTAAAGTTCTCTAACAATTGTAGCAAAACCGCTTTTTTCATATACCTA